GGCCCCGCCCTCGCTTGGGCGAAGTCGGCCATGCTTTTCGGAGCACAACGGTGTTCGTTTCGTGGTCATCGGCGACTTCAGGGACTTTTATCTCTGTTCGACGGGTCGATTTTCGAGAAGTTTAAGTTGTCGAAATTGAAGTGTTGTTTCAGCTCTACGCAACTGCCCGTCGACAAGGCAATTGTCGAGGGGAGCGAATCGGCGTCGAAATCGGGCCTTGCGGGTAGATGAAATTGGAGAAAATGGCGTTTCGACGAAATGCTGGTCGACAGAATTAGGCTCGAACGAGTCATCGTCGAGCAGAGAAATTCTGGTCGACCAAAATTACTTGTCTCCGAAATTTGCAATGTGCGCGAATTTCGACCCATCACGAAACAGCAAATTTCGACCAATCAGAGCATTTCGGAAATTGTACTCCCCAGGAGATTTCCAATCAGTAAAGAAACTGAACCTGAAACACGTTTTTACTAACAGTAAAAACGTAAACAACTCTGAACGTTGGAAACCTGAGAAGCTGCCAACTCAGGGGAAAGACACATATGCTTGTCGTTTCACCTGGCGTTGCTGACTCGGAAAGGTCGAGCGTTCGTCGAGGAACGTTTCTCCAGGGTTCATTGTGCTTGCTATTTGGGATCTCTTTCTTAGTACCATGATCTTGTTCCATCAATTTTTCTTAGTGAAACTATGCTCGAATTCTACTAAGTCATTCAAACACTCTGTCCAGAATCACTGTCAAAACTCTGACCGTGCGTCACACGCAATTCAGCTCTCCCTTAGAATAGAATTCTCCGCAATATCGTCCTTAGGTCCTGCGCTCGAAGCTGCTGACTCAATATCAGGTTTCACCTGAGTAGGGTTAGAAGGATTTATCCTAGGCTGGTAGCTTCACTTGTGCCTGGAACCTTCCTCTAAGCCTTTGCAGCTGTGTAGGCTTCATTAGTGGGGAACAGCGGGGAGCCTTTAAACACTGTTGCTAGGAGAGAATATTAACTCCTCGGAACGCTCGACCCTTTTCAACGCTCCGGAATGGGGTCCCCATATTACCCGGTACCGGTTTAATTTCTGACCCCCCCTTAATAAAGGCTTGAAAACCACGAGAAGTAATATTTTTACTTGTCGAGGTGTACGGCTGGAGTTTCCCAGTCAGTGCAGGGTCTTGTTTCGCGGAGTCTCCTTTTGTCTCGGCGATTTCCCTTGGTGCCGGCTGGTCGTGACGTTTTAAATTCGCGCCATCATATTCTCTTTTTTTCGCCCTCTCTGAAGTTGCCACGTTGTCCGTTTTCTGCTTCGGGGGTGCTGAACTGTTCTTGCCCTTCAACTCTGCACGTCTATTCTTCATTTTCCAACACGCCAATATACGATGTCCTGTAGCGCCGCAAAATTCGCACGTCTCATTGTTTGCTAGCCGCTGCGTCGCATCGTCTTTGTCGTTCTCCATCGGGTCGGCAGTCGTGGGTGGTGCCGATCGCCCCATGCCACTATTTGGCTTGTTGCGTCGTGTTCCGTAGTAGCTACTGTTCAACGCGTCGAACTGTTCGATCAGTGCTGCCCGAAACTGTGTCCACGTCTCTTCGCCTTGGACAAATTTGCTATTGATCCACTCTAGAGCTGGGCCTCGTAACAGTGTTGCTGCGAGCCATATGCACATTGCGTCTTTTGTCGGTGTCGTGCATCCAACGGCTTCGAAGTAAATTTCGAGTTCAGCTACAAATTGACGAGCGTCGCTCCCTTTAACTGTAGGATTGAACGCCTCCGGTAGCCTCGGCTTCACTGCTTCAAGGTTAATTGTAGCTGCTGCCGTTGTCGCAGGTAGAATTGTCGCTGTTGCCACTGCTGCTACTGCTGCTGTGGTTGCTGCATTTGCTGCTGCTGTGGCGGTTGCCGACTGGTTCGCAAGGAGTTTTTCGAGTCGTGGGAGCGCCGCACGTATCTGCTTATGCTCAGCACGTAACTCCGCGGTTTTCCGTACGGAATTATCTCTATTTCCCTCCATTTGGCGATTTGCAAGAAGATGTGCGACGAAAATAAGTGAATTCTAGGTGCTGGTCGACTTACTGCGAGTCGAATTGATTGTAGAATCGACGAGCTCAAATTCTGTACGTCGCACAATTCTCCCTTAATCGAAATTCGCGTCCGATCTCGGCCGTTGAGAAGAAACTCGATCCGACGCTCTATATTCCAACCTTTTTGGGCGAAATTCTCTGGGCCGTTGAGATTCGAATCGATCTGACGGTCGAAATTCCAATTTGTTTTGCCAATAATCCTGAGGGATGTTTGAAAACTGGATCGAGGGGGACTTCGAAAATTTGCGCGGAACTGGTTTTACATACCCGTATCGGCGCTTTCATCGTCGCCCCTGCGGTTTTTTAAAGGCCGGTTCTAAGCGGTTGAAGACCTCACGTGTAAACCCGCTCTGAGTACCAAGTGTGAGGATCTAGTTCAGGAAAGAGAAATCTATTCAATGATTCACCTGGGTACAAGGCGAGGCGAAATATAGGCTCGACACAAGGCAGGTAGCCCTGGTGTTACACGATTGTTCTGAGGGTCGCGAAGCGTCCCGAACAGAACCTTCCTGAACTCGCTAGAAAGTAATTCGGTGGAAACTGAATAGACTTGAGTTCGGTACACGTAACCTGGTTCGGTGCTTTAACTATAATAACATATAAGATTGCACCTAACCTAGGAAATCAAGCATATCCATGCATGATAAATAAAACCTAAGTTAGTAATTGCATAATAAAGTTCAGGTAAGCTAGCAAAGCCAGCATAAGCCGTCGTACTCTTACAACCGTCGTTCGACTGGACGGGATACATGCGGCTATAATCGGTGATCACGACACCGAATTCATGAGCTACTTCTGGTGGAATCTGTGGCAGCAGTTTGGCAGACGACTGCAGTTCAGTTCATCGTACCACCCCGAAAGCAACGGCCAGACGGAGCGGACCAATCAGACCATGGAGTAATTAATACGAGCCACGTGCGACGACCCAACGACGTGGGAGCAGCAGTTGCATCTCATAGTGTTCGCGTACAACAACTCCACGCCAGCAATCACGCAACAGTCACCCTTTTACCTCAATTACGGGCATAACCCAACAGTACCCATGGCGCCGAATCCCGACAACCCAGTACCACATCCGCAGCAGTTCGCCGAGATTTTACAAGCAGCCCGGACCCGAGCAGCAGAGACCATAAAAAAACCAAATGTCAACGCTAAGCGTAACGGCGACCGCCACCGTCGCCCCGTCACTTACCAACCCGACAACCTGGTATTACTCGACACCTAAAACCTCTGCCTGCTCATCACCCCAAAATTGCGCCCAATGTATTGCGGGCCATTTCGAATCAGTGACATGGTCACCGCCGTCACCGCCCACCTCAACCTGCCCGCTGACTGGTACGTCAGCCCCTCATTCCACATTAGTCTCCTCCACCCCTATGTCCCATCCACGAGCCAACTGCCTCGCAGCCGCCCATCAAGCATGATACGACCACCAACCGAGCCAATCATCACCCCCGACAAGATTCTGAGCCACCGAGTCCGCGATCCACGTAGAGCACGGCGCATCGAGTTTCTGATACGGTGGAAGGACCGCACGCCCACGGAGGACAGCTGGGTCCCCTTGGATAAAATCCAGAACCACCCCATCCTCACCGAGTACCTGCGAAGCAGAAATTCCGCGACATACACGCCGGTCCTCATTGGGGCGGGGGGTAGTGCAAGGAAAAATAATTTTCCTTACTTCGTGCCCCTGCTTACCGCGTACATGACTGTTCCAACCAACAATACCCTACCGTACGATGTTACCATTCGCGACACTCGCCCCGACCACTACTCCCGCCACGATTCTCATCGCACCCTAACCTTACGGTTCGGCTGGTAACCCGCGCTTCGGTCCTCCGCCTCGACATTTCCAACCTCGGCACTAGGCCCTTCGCGCCCCCCACAATTCACTCGTTACCATTACCACGCTAGTTTTCGCTATATAAATCGCTCATTCTATTCGCTCATTGCACTTGTTGCTTCGATAGTGCAATCTTCGCTCGTCGCTCAATTGCACTCATAGCAGCATGCTTCAACCATCTAACATTTGATGCTATTTACATAAGATGCCTACTTAACACGGCATGTGACATATAGTGGATCACATCTCTATTCTTCATTATGTCTGTTCTGGTACCTGTTTTTTTACTTTTACAATGTGGGATTGCATCTAGGCTTGGATCTAGGTTCCTTAAAGCCTAAATATTAGCACCATCTTTGCATATATCCAGAGTAGCAGAGCTTCCCTTAGCGCGAACGGCCTCAAGGTCAACTCATTTCCGCCGGTTCGCCACCGCTTTGCAATCCTTTGAAATTGGCGTGTGGCCCATGAACCTTGATTCCTCGAGTCCTTCCTGACGGACTCTTGTTCATTAGTCCTCTCTGGTACGACCATTTTGTCAGTGCAAGTCTTTTCCGCTTGGCACTTAGTCTTCTTTCCTCAGCACCGAGTCTTCTTTCTTCAGCGCCGAGTCTTCCTCTCTCCGAACCGAATCTTCTTCTCTTAGAACCGAGTCTTCTTACTCGACTGTAAATCTCTCTTCACGGCTGCGTTTGCCTTGCCCCTGACGGCGTCGTTCTTCAGCATCACGCGCATTTCCGTACCATTTATTCGTCTAACTAAGACATGTCGTCGTGCAGTAACGTTACGGGAGTCATTAATCAGCATTTGTGTAGTACTACTTTCAATAGCGGTATCTTACGGTAACAAATCCTCGTCAAATACTTCCACCATGAGTGACTAGGGCTGACTAGGAGTCGCATCTGTTGAAGCACCCAGATTATCACCACGAATGAGGCGAAGATGTCGTCGCGGTATGACTCTGGTCTTCGTGTTTTTATTCCTACGCCTGGACTGTCTCTATCAACTCGTTACAGGAATCTTCCTTATCTCGTCGTTATCAATCCAAATAATTGTCAAAACTTTCCGTTTCCTGCTCTCCGTTGCCGTTTCAGCCACTCGTTGCGCGATGCTCGAGTTCGCGTTAGAGCCATCGGCCGTCTTTTGGATGAGGCGATGCTCTCTCACCAGCAAGCCATGCACGCCCTTCAAACCGTTTCTTTCCTGGAAACTTCTAGGAACTTGAAAGAAGATTGTGTTAAGCTTCAGAAACCTGAGAGGCCAGATGGTCCTGAGAAACTCAAGTCATTGCAGAGCCCAGATGGCTCCGCGAACCCCGTTTGCAATGGGCGAATGAATCTCGAGTTTGCAAGGGATTGTAGTTTTGGTGCGGAGGGTCAGAGCAGCGGGGGAAGGGATTGTGATGGTGGGAAGCCCGTGGCCTGGCTCTCAGATGCGGAGAAGAGTGCGATTTTGGAGCAAGAACAGGTGGTTGGCGAAGTGCTTGTGAGTGGTGCTTGTTTGAGGTTCGTGTGAGTGGTGCTTGCATGTGAGTACTGCTTGAGATTGTTGCTTGTTAGTGGTGTTTGTGAGTGATGCGTGTGAGCAGTAAGTGTGAGTAGTGCTTGTGTCTGCTCCCCCTCTTTCGTCCTTTCCCTTTTTGGAATGTTTTCCGTTCGTTTAAACAAGTGGTATTGTTCCTATGCAGACCTCCACCTTTCCTACACCAGGCTGACTGGTTGGATGGATGATTCGTTTTAAGGATTCTTGAAGAAGTATTCAAGTAAAGTGTCGGTTCCTTATTGTTGCCGTGGCAGGCGAAGGTGGACGAACAGTTGCGAGCGCTGCATGACATGCTCAAGGTGAGCGACTCAGCCCCCCTCATTCACCTGCGCCGACTTTTGGATGTCTCAAAGCCGAGCAGATGGGACAGCTGCATGACATGCTCAAGGTGAGCCCATGGCAGTTCCGGAATGTCAACCATTCTTTGCAACACCGATTGCACTATTACTTTATCAGCCTCCTGACTCCCTCCTTTACCATTCTTTGCCTGCATTATCTCAGCCTTAACTCCTCGCTGCCTCGTTGCCTTCTTGCTTTTCCCTGTGCGCTATGCCCCCCGGTCGCCCCAAAGAGCATAACGTGCATTTCTAGTCAAGGCAAGCCATGATTCGAAAAGCGAGTCTTAAGGTGACTCATAATCTTAAGGTGAGTCATAATGTTAAGGTGAGTCATAATCTTAAGGTGACTCATAATCTTAAGGTGAGTCATAATCTTAAGGTGATTCATAATCTTAAGGTGACTCATAATCTTACGGTGACTCATAATCTTAAGGTGAGTCATAACCTTAAGGTGAGTCATAATCTTAAGGTGAGTCATAATCTTAAGGTGAGTCATAATCTTAAGGTGGCTCATAATCTTAAGGTGACCCATAGTCTTAAGTATACATGGGCAAACGAGTCGAGTTTTTACTTGACACGTTTTAGGTACTCGAAATTCATGAGTTTCGAGTTTTGATTTTTGAAAAAAAAAAAATCGTGAAAACGAGTCGATTTTTACTCCCAAGTTTAAAAAAACTCGTGAAAAACTCGGCTAGACAGGCGATTTTTTCAAAACTCGCGACTTTTGTTTATCCTAGACGAGTTTAAAAAAACTCGTGCGTCAAATGGCCCTCCAGAGGGGGGGTACAAATGTCAGGACTTGAATGCTAGCCCTGGTTTCTGGGTTAGTGTGCTGCGGGAGGTGTGACTCGCTGTCTTGGATGTGTTCCACCGCTTATTTGTGAACACTAGTGCAGGTGGCGTGGCGTTGAGTAACTTGGTTGGAAAGTGAAAGGGGGGAGGAGAGGTGGGGCAGGCTGGGATGTTTGTGGGTGTTGACGGGTGGGGCAGTTTTCAGGGCACCCTAAAACTGTTTTCGTGTGGCTGGGGTTGGTGACTGGGATAGTGTTTAAGCTCGAGTCGAGTTTTACTTGACTCGGACGAGTTTTTTGAAGACTCTTCCGAGTTTTGAAAAAACTCGACTTAGAGGCCGAGTTTCGAGTCAGCATTTTGACAAAAAAAAGCTCGATAAGGAAAACTCGACTCGACTCGTCAGTGGGAAAAAACTCGGCAAAACGAGTCAAGTAAAACTCGACTCGCCATTTGCCCATGTATAATCTTAAGGTGACTCATAATCTTAAGGTAACTCATAATCTTAAGGTGACTCATAATCTTAAGGTGATTCATAATCTTAAGGTGACTCATAATCTTAAGGTGACCATGATCCTTGCCTTCCTCTGTGCCTTCATGGTCAGCGCACGGAGCATGATGAACGTTTGCACCAAGGCGACCCATGCTTCTTTAGGTGACTTTCGATGTGACTCACAAGTCTCATTCTTGCTCCCTTCTGTTCCTTCCTGGCCTCTGCACAGAACATAACGTGCGTTTGCAACAAGGCGAGCAATGGGCTTCCACCAAAATGGTTCGAGGAAGGATCTGAGGACTTACGGGGAGGAGGTGGAGGAGGAGGAGAAGCAGTTATTGCTGCTGCAGCAGCGGCTGCGGCGGCGGCAGTTGCGGGAAGTATTGGAAACAAGGTTCGGTTAGTGTTAGTAGAGGATGTTGTAACGAGGATGCAAGAGCAGCAGAGGCAGCAGAAGCAAGTGGAAGACCTGAAAGGAATCAAAGGTAGAGTTACTCATAGCAGCAGCCAGAGACACGAGCAGTTGCATGAAGAGCAGCAAGGGCAGCAGCAAGAGCAGCAGGAAGAACTTATTGCAGCAGCAGAAGTGGGTCAATTGAAAGAGAAACTGGGGAGTGTGAGTGACGGCAGTCTGAAGCTCGAAGCCGAAGTGAACACGCAGAGAAGCTGGATAGACGAGAACGAGAAGGTAATTCTCGTTTATGCCCACTCTGCTTCCCCCGCCCATTCCCTAGTCTTTGAAGTCTTTCTGCGCTATCAACTGGTAAAATCGTCGTTTTTATCACAGGCGTTTTATTTAGTTGACCCGCACATGCCTGTTCCTACTGTCTCCGTTCCAGTCTGCTTGTCACAATCCCACCCACCACCTCCTTTCTCCCACCACTTCTACCCACCATCTCTCTCTCACACCACCTCCCTCCCACCCAACCCATCCCCCTCCTTTTCCACGTGCCCTCCTATCACACACCTTCCTACCACATGCCCTCCCCCCACAGGCAACAGCCCACCTGATGCTCCACTCATTCCCCATCGCCCTGCAACAAGGCTGCCTTGATTTCAGACCGGGATGTATCCCTCTTCATCCGCGCCCTTTCCATCCTTCACCCTTCCATCCTCCCCACCATCTCCAAACTCATTTTCGGGCGGGAGGATGCCACGTCAGCTTGCAAGGCCATCACTGGAACTTTTCTTCTGCCCGGGGCAGGCGTGCTTCAGTTTGACAGCCTGACCGAAAACCTGAAAGAGCTCCACATGGCGGGATGCACAGGGATAACAGATGACTCACTTTGCCACCTGTCATCGTTCCATTCGCTGCAGCGACTCAGCCTCATCCTCTGTACAGGCCTCTCCGGTCCTGGTATAGCCCATCTTTCCAAGTGCCCCTCTCTTAGATCACTGTTCATATCTCACACACCCATCCGGGAGGAAGGTTTAGGCCACCTGTCTACAGTAACTACACTACGAGAGCTGTGGTTACACGGATGCAGCATCAGCAGTATCGGTATGCATCACCTGGGAAAAATCAAATTTTTGGAGATCCTGTCCCTGGGCGGCTGTGTGGGTTGCGCCGTTCGTCACGATATGAGCGCGTCGCTGCTGCACCTGTCTCACCTGCGGTCTCTCAAGGAGCTCTGGCTCTGGGGCTGCGATACAGTCACGTCAGATACAGTCACACTTGCTGCTGTTGCGTCCGCTACAGTCGCATCTGCTACAGCTGCTACAAATGCTACAGCTACAGCTCCAGCTGCTACTGCTACAGCTGGTACAGCCTCATCTCGGCCTTACTTCACCAGCTACCAAGCTACATCTCTGAAACAGTCTTCTGTCTCCTCCTCCCACCCATCTGCCAAGCCTCTCCTTGCATCTACCACCCCCTCTTCATCTGCCATCCGCACTCCATCTGCCTCCTACCTCTCATCTACCAAGTCTGCCTGTGTGAAGCTCACAGACAAGGGCCTTTCGCTCCTGATGCACATAACTACGCTTAAACGTCTACACCTCAAGGGATGCCAAGCCGTTACAGACGATGGGTTTGCGCTAATTGCCGGCTTGCGATTGGTGCTCCTCGAAGCAGATGCATGCCATGCCATCTCCGATAAAGGCATTGAGAAGCTGTCTCGTTATAAGCCTCCAGGGCAGGAGTACTACTACAGTGACCAATACCTGGCACGGTCGTTACAGGAGCTACACCTGCGGGGTTGCTTCAGGTTAACGGACTACGCATTAGGGTATGTATTGCAGTTTACCTCGTTACAGAAATTAACTCTAGATGACTGTTCCGGCTTCACAACACATGGGATCAGTGGGTTGAAGAGTCTCAAGACGCTCAGCTTTCTCTGCTTAAAGACATCTCCTAGGATTAGTCAAGAGCAGCTCCGCAAATGCTTGAATTCGTCGTGAATGTTTCAGATCCATGAGTAATATATAAGCTTTGTGGCCTGTTTGGCTCTTTCTTCCTGCATTTCTTTTATTTTCCATTGATTTTTTTCTTCATAACACACAATAACAGCGCGATGCCTCTCCATATATCGTATAGCCCCATTTATAAGAAGACTCTGGTAACCAGCTACCAGTACGAATCCATCTAGTGCCTGGCATATGCCTTTTGCCAAACAACCGCACATGTGAACGATGACTCGGCTACCACTGGAAATACGGCAGCACATATGAAGGCTCCGCACACGTTTCTTCAACCAGCACCCTCAACTTCCCCACATCCACTCCCCCCTTTGCCTCCCCCTCCACCTTCCCTCTTCCCTTTCCCCCATTCTCGCTCTTCCTCACTCTTCTCCCCTCCTCTTCCCCATTCCCTACTGCTGCTGTTGCTGGTGGTGGTGGTACCCCTAGTTGATCAGCGTGTATACCCCCGGCCACAAACACGCTGTCAATGCCGAAAGATGCCGCCCCTAGAATGTCGTGGTGCAGCGAGTCGCCGACCATGACTGTGCGGTCGAGAGAGATCCCGGTCAGCTGCTGGGCTGCCCGAAAAGAAATCTGGGAGGGGATGATGGAGGAAAGTAGGAGTGGGAGCAAGCTTTAGAGAAATAAGTGGCTGTGGGATGAATAATAACGCCCGACAAAGAGCAGGAAATCATGAATGAAACAAAACGTTCACTTGCTTGCACTAACAAGCCAGAGCCCCATGCATGAACATTACAATCCCCACCTCCACCGTAATGGTGTCAAGGTCATAAGCACTTGGAAGGGGTGGGGGTGGGGGGGGGCAAGAGATTACATACTGGGTCTGGTTTCCCCATGCGCTTGACCACACCACCCATCTGCTCGTATTGCCGAGCCAGAGTTCCAGGCATGACCCTTAAAGCCCAGGCCTCCACCGTGACTATTTCAGGGTTGTTTCAAAAGAACCACTTACTGGGTCAGGTTTCCCCATGCACTTGGTTTTGAGTCGACTCAATACTGGGTCAGGTTTACCACTCACAGGATCCGGTTTCCCCATGCACTTGACCACACCCCCCATTGCCTCGTACTCCCGAGCCAGAGTCCCAGGCATGACCCTTAAAGCCCGAGCCTCCACCGTGACTATATCGGGGTTAGCCACGACCATCGGAATCATCCTGCCTCTCCGCCGCCCCTCCTCCGCCGCCCGGCTCATCAGCCCTGCCAGCTCATCCAGTGAGGCCGGGCGGGCGGGTTTGTCTGCTTCTGCGACCCCCACTGCCTCTGTGCCGTGCGCGAGGATAAAATCTGCTTCTTCTGGTGTTTCCACCACTTGCAGTCCCAACCCCTGTTGTGGTTAGTGGGAGACGGAAGAGAGGAAGAGGGGGTAAGGTGGGATGAGGGTGGGTCGTGTTGGGTGCGTGTGCAACCCCGACTGCCTCTGTGCGGTGTGCGAGAATAAAGTCTGCTTCTTCTGGTGACTCCCCCACTTGCAGGAGGAGAGGAGGAGGGAGCAGGAGGAGAGGAGGAGGGAGCAGGACGATCATGCACTGGCACCCGATGGAATGAGCGAGTGAGAGAGTGAGTGAGTGAGTGAGTGAGTGAGAGGTGAGTGGGACACCCCGGACTAATACCCCCTGATCTTGCTATTCTGTTGGCTTGCACCAATCACAGTAGGGAATACCTGTCCTTGATTGTACACCTTATGATGAATAAGGACAAGGACAGTTTGAGAGAGTGAGTCCTTGCCAGCCCAGTCCTGCCAGCATCGCTCTCCCTGCCAGCCTTGCCAGCCCTGCCAGCCCTGCCAGCCCTGCCAGCCCTGCCTGCCCTGCCAGCCGTGCCCCTTCTGAAACGATGTCTCATTCTGCGCTGACCAGTGTCTGTGTGTAGTGTAGCCCTTCCTTTCCTTCCTACCTCCAGGGAAACAGCACCGTTAGCAGCCGAGGTGAAGTGCAGGCACCCTGGTATCACGAAGTCAGGGAATACACGCTTCACCTCGGCTGCAAGTTCATATTGGGAGTAGCAGCAAACCTAAAGAAATCGCTTAAGCAAAAGGATCAAGACTTGTAAAACTCGTTCCCAGAGATTCAAGAAAATCCCAGAGCCTCCAAACTCGAAAAACCCTTATTCGCAAACTAGTTTCGGCCAACGGGACAGAACCCCGCTAAGCCTTCATCAGTGCTGCTTACAGGTTCACGAAGTCAGGGAAGACACGCTTCACCTCGGCTGCTAGCGGTGCTGTTTTTTATAAAAGTGAGTTTTTGAGATGTCTTGAAAACACGCTCTGGCGTTTGCCTTTCCTAACGCAATTAGGGCGTGGAACATTTTTACGACCATGCCAAATGGTCGTTCGTATGGTTGGATCTGGCGAATGCGAAGAGTGTAACAGAGATGCGAAGGATGCGAGATTTTTAAGCTATTCTGTTCGCCAGCACGTGCGTCACACCCACTAAAAACCACCCCCCACTAAGTGACTTTTGAGTCGACTCAAAAGGCACCCACTAAAAACCACCCCCACTAAGAAAAAACATCTGATCCCAGTTTAAGCATTCGAAAGGGGTGTGGAACTTCGGGGGGAGCGGAAAGTTGTGTGTTTTGCAAGTAGAGTGGAGCTGGAAAACACTTTCGGGGGTAACATTCGCAGTTAAACGTTGTCCCACTTCTCTGGATAGTGTAGGTGTAGGCGACAGCAAACCTACGGGAAATACCATTGACTTTCGGTCGAGTGAGGTTGAATACTGGGCATGTCAAACGGTGGGGTTTCCCTAAATGCTTCGCAATCGCCAGAAGCAACCACAAATTCGACCATTTGACGTGTTCGTTAAAATGTTCCACGCCCTTAAGGAAATACTGTGGTAGCCCTGTGAATGCCCGTTGCTCTTCCTCCCTACCTCCAAAGAAACAGCACCCCTGGCAGCCCAGGTGAAGTGCAAGCACTTTGATCCAAGCGTCTGGAAAAAGGTGTCAAGGGAGCGACTGGAGGGTGGGGATGAGTGGGTGGAGAGAGAAGAGAGCAGAGAGGTTAGAAGGGGAAGTTAAGGATATAGACAGTCCAGTTAAGAGAATGTACGAACATTAACAGTGCTGCGAATCCAGCTGTTTGACCCCCTGATAGATGGTGCGACTTTTGAGACCCCCTGATCGATGGTGCGACCGTGCGACTTTTGAGAATTCTCAAAAGTCACTTCAGCGCGCTCGAACGCGTCACTTTGTCATGTTGTCGAACCTATTATGCGGTTGACAACACTACATACCCTATGATAAACCTATCATTGTTGACCGAGGAACAACAATGCAAGCTGAGGTGCAATCACCCCACTGGCACGCCCACACTATCCATACCCTTCACTCACCATCTGGTGCCGGTGAGTGGTCGCCCCACTCGCCCACTCACTCACTCACTCACTCACTCACTCACTCACTCTCACATTAACGCACTCACTCCATCAGGTGCCAGTGTGTGATCTCCTTGTCACTCCCCACACTAACCTACTCACTCACTCCCTCACTCACTCCCTCACTCACTCAATCAGATGCCGGTGTGTGATCTCCCCACTCGTCACGATTCCACAGAAGAGCGACGGGTCAAAGCCCAGAGATGGAAGCTTCTTGGAAGCCACCTCCACCCTGCGCGACGAGTTGCTGAGAAGCACCACCTTGGCACCAGACGCTGCCAGCTGGCGCACTGTGATTGGCCAGGGAGGATACGGATAAGGATGGGGATAGTGATAGGGATAGGTTAAGGGTTGTGTGTGTAGTGAGAAAGAGAGAAGTATTCCTGTTGAACTTTCAAGATTTCTCGAAACGGATGCATAGAAAAGAGCATTCGGAGGGAGCAGCATGCAAGGGAGAGAGTTAGAGGGAGCAGCATGCAAGGGAGAGAGTTAGAGGGAGCAGCATGCAAGGGAGAGAGTTAGAAGGAGCAGCATGCAAGGGAGAGAGTTAGAGGGAGCAGCATGCAAGGGAGAGAGTTAGAGGGAGCAGCATGCAAGGGAGAGAGTTAGAGGGAGCAGCATGCAAGGGAGAGAGTTAGAAGGAGCGCACCACCCAATACTCTTTTCGTTACAGGATACCCCTTACCCGGTAGCTGAGAGCAAAGGAAATGACTTTTGAGTCGACTCAAAAGGGAGCGCACCACCCAATACTCGTTTCGTTACAGGATACCCCTTACCCGGTAGCTGAGAGCAAAGGAGATGGGTCACGATTTTTGAGGCGCCTCAAAAGTTACAGGATACCCCTTATACGGTAGCTTAGAGCAAAGGAAATGGGTGATGATGAGTTGCGAGACCCACTCACATGCTTCGATCACTTGGGGGGGATAGGCCTTCTTGGTTTTTGAGGCGCCTCAGAAACCACCTCAAAGGAAATGGGTGATGATGAGTTGCGAGACCCACCCACTCACATGCTTCGATAGCCTGGGGATAGGCCTTCTTGCCGTCGTGCAGCACCCCAAACTGGTCTAGGATCCAGGCCTGGGGGAAAGGAAAGGGGAGTTACGGAGAACAGAACAGCAGCAAGAGAAGAAGGTGCGTGAGAGGAGAGCTGATTGAGAGGGAGGGAAAGAGATCGCTTTCTTGCCGTCGTGCAGCACCCCAAACTGGTCCAGACTCCAGGCCTGGGGGAAAGGACCAGTTTGAGGTGGAGGGGGCAGGGGGGAGGAGCGGAAGGGGCGGATGTTGGAGGGAAGAAAGTGGAATTGAGGGAGAGTGCCTTGGCAGCAGCAAGAGGAGATGAAGGTGGAAGGGAGGGGAGAGAGAACGGGATGAAAAGCACGGAACAGGGGCAGGGAGGGAACGAGGGATGGAATTGAAGGCGGGTGGGAGGACAGCCGAGACTGGCCATCGAGCCATATGGGTTTCTTAAAGCACCTCAAACTGATCCACAGCTCAAGGAATAAAAAAATAAAGAGTTGATCAGCCCAGATCCTTCAAGCGTCAAGCGTCCGTACCTCGTATTTCCCCGTTTCAACGAGCTCTTTTAGCCCGGAGATTTGAACAGGTCCGTTCCGCGCGGGTAAATTACCCTCGACATTCCCTTCTGTAGTGGTTGCCGTGTGTGCAGCGGAAGCCATGATGGCTGCTGTTCTGCTACGCGGGACAACGGTTCCGCGGGTGATTAATACATTACGCCGACGATTGGCTATGTGGGTAATTGAGAGTCGTGTCCTTGCTAGTACTGGTAAGCGGGACGACAATGGGAGCAATGAGGCAGCTACTGTCGGGGATGGAGTGCAGCGTTGAGCCGGAATCGGCAATGGAGAGGGCATCGCTCCAAGCGCTCGGGAAATACGAGGATCTAACGGCGACTCCCGTCGCCTATTGAATAGGCTGCTTTTGAAAAGGGGAATTCACGAAGTAATTGGCCGAATTCGGCTCGGATTGGCTGTGGAAGAAAAAAGGAAACAAAATTATCCGAAATCAGGGCGGGTTTTCTGGGCCACACTGGTGAGCAATAGCTGTGGGGCGCAAAAGTTCTTAGTGTGTGTTGAGTGGCTCGACGATTTGCGAAAGCACCGCGATTAGCAAAGCGAAGCTGGGCGAAAATATGAGAATGACAGTTGTGCCTATCACTTCCCTGTGAGCATTAGCACAGTAACTTCTCGTAAGCAAATAGTCAAGGGAAGGTCGAGCGGACGAACCCGAACTTCGGTGGTATAGTGGCGGGATTTGAAGAACACTTTGACGTGTACAGCGCCCTAAACCGCGGTTTGAAGCGGGAGCATGATCCTATTGTGACACGCGACGCGAGCTGCCTCTCCTCTCTCTTGATTGTGTCGAGTCGAAGAGTCCTCCATGGCTAACCAAAGTAACGTAACGCGTATGTGAGCGGAAATAACGGAAGACGGGCGTATCGCAGCCTCTGGCAGGTGGATCCCGTGCGCGCTGTTCAGGGCGGCTTCAGACTGTCATAGGCACGGCTTCTGTCATCGGCAAAACTATTACGGTAGTCGAAACGGCAGCCGGCATTTGAGCCCTGTCGCGACTCGGCATGTTCCACTCGAAATGCACGTAGTAGAATCAATGGCGGTCGTAAGAGCGGTGCGCGTAGGCTCGTTGCTCTTCTCGTCGTGTCGGGCGACCCCCTTTCACGCCCACCGTCCTAATTCGGTTCCGATCCGAACCTACATCCGTGCAGGCTCGGAAGCTACAGCCGACCCATCCGCGAGCCTCACACGTCTTCCGAGCCTGGTGTCCAAAAAAACGAGGGGTCCCGCCTCGGCTGTACCGAAAAATTCGGGTCGGGGCGTCTCACCGAAGCTGCCTGCCGAACCTGGGGATACGTCTGGCAGATGTGGTTCGGACAGTCCACCCATCGAGGTGGTATTTGAAGATGAGCACTTGATCGCAGTCAACAAACCGTGGGGAATCATGGTGCACTCATGCTGAGTCTGTTTTGTATTTTCATTCTTAAAAAACAGGTGGTATTTGAAGATAAAGCCATGATCGCAGTCAACAAACCGCCGGGAATCATGGTGCACTCGTCTCGCGAAGCCACGCGGGAGGAGCGAGCGCAGGGAGCCTTCGTGAAGGATATGGTGGAGCGACAGCTAGGGTTAGGTATGTGGGCGATGAGCAATGGATGAATACCTGCATTGCAGAGAGGAGCACGGGCAGGAGGGGTGGGGGCATGAGGAGCGCGCGCAGGGAGCCTTCGTGAAGGATATGGTGGAGCGACAGCTAGGGTTAGGTATGTGGGCGATGAGCAATGGGTGGGATGGCAAGGAGGGGAGAGTTGGGAGTACGAGGGATCTGTTTTTTAGAATTCTCAAAAAAACGGATCATCACATGGCTTTTGAGGAGGAGCGAGCGCAGGGAGCCTTCGTGTGAAGGATATGATGGAACGCCGGCTGGAGAGTAGGAATGTGAGGAATGAGTGATGGGTGGTATGGAAAGAGTTGACTTTTGAGTCGACTCAAAAGTATGATGGAACGCCGGCTGGAGCTAGGAATGTGTGACATGAGTGATGGGTGGTATGGAAAAGAAGTGAGAGTCTGGGTTTTGGGTAAGAGCAGTATGAAGGGAAGCTATGTACAGAGAGGGGAGCAGTTAGGAACTAACGAGCATCGCATTGACCGACCCGCCAGTGGGGTGGTCGTTTTTGGACGAACAGCAGAGGCAAGCTGGTTTTTGAGAATTCTAAAAAACTCGCCATTGGGGTACTCGTGTTCGGACGAACAGCAGAGGCATCATCTATTTCTCCTTCCCCACTCCCTTCCATCTCTTCCTATCATCATTTAATCCCTCTCTTTCTTCCCTTCTCGTCAACGCTTCAGACCGCCCTCTCTTCCCAGCACATCGTATCGACCGACCAGCCAGTGGGGTACTCGTGTTCGGGCGGACAGCAGAGGCGTGCAGGCGAGTGCGAGAGGCCATGGCACACCCAGCTGCTGTGAAGGAGTGAGCAGCTTTTGGTGGGGCGAGGGAGAGAGAGCAAGAGAAGGAGAGCTGTGAATGCATGTACGAGTACTCTCTTCTCTGCACACCACACCAGTGAGGTGCATTTTGAGGCGCCTCAACATGTACGAGTACTCTCTTCTCTGCACACCACACCAAGTGTTTGGGCGGACAGCAGAGGCGTGCAGGCGAGTGCGAGCATCCATGACACACCCTGCTGCTGTGAAGGAGTGAGTGGTGGGTGGTGGGGCGAGGGAGAGGGGTAGAGGTGGGGAGAGCAGCATGCAATGCAGCTTTGATCTCACAACAACATCAACTGCTGGGCTGGGCTGTGCTGGACAGCAGAGGCATGTAGGCAAGTGCAAGCAGCAATGGTGGCGTACCCTGCCTGGTCCTCGTTCAAGGCTCCCCTCCCTTTTGAGAATTGTCATTTTGAGTCGCTTTTGAGAATTCTCATTTTGAGTCGCTTTTGAGAATTCTCATTCTGAGTCGCTTTTGAGAATTCTCATTTTGAGTCGCTTTTGAGAATTCTCATTTTGAGTCGCTTTTGAGAATTCTCAAAAGCAGCAATGGTGGCGTACCCTAGTCCTCGTTCAAGGCTCCCCTCCCAACGCCGTGATGTGTGTTCCACCCACCGCCTCCCCTCCTCCCACACCCCTCCTCCCCTCCTCACTCCCCCCTCCTCCCATCCCCCTTGCCCCCTTCCCCCACCCCATCCCCTCCCAGGTACCTGGTCCTCGTGCGAGGCTCGACTCCCGGTGCCTTCACGTGTGACAATCTGCTGAAGGACGACCCGAGGAGCACTCAAGCCCGCTCTCTCCCACTTCAAAAGGCTCTTCCCTCCCTCCGCCCATTTCCCCCCATCCCCTCCCAGGTACCTGGTCCTCGTGCGAGGCTCGCCTCCCAGTGCCTTCACATGCGACAAGCCGTTGAAGGATGAAAAGGTGGGGTGTTGCAATGGAATGCAATGGATGGTTGAAGCGCTGAGAGCTGGCAAGGTATAGATGATTCAAGAGCTTAAAACTGAGAGAGTGGGGCGCAGCATGCACGCACAAAAATAAGCCGTTGGGAGACTTTGCATTATACCCCTTTCAGGGCGCTTCAGAACCATCTTTAGTCCTCAACCTCCTACCTCCCACCTCCCACTTCCCACCTCCCTCCTTCATAGTATAGTGACTGTTGGGAATTCTCAATAGTGACTCCAATACAGCTGCATCCCTTCACGCACCTTCAAACCCCCAACGCCAACCCCCCACCTCCTGCCTCCCTCCTTTCTTCCCGATTCTCTTTCCTGCTGTCCCTTTCCCAGGGCGTGGTCAAGCCAGCTTATTCTGAGTTCAGAAAGCTCCTGGAAATTCTGCAGCACCGCTGCTCGCTGCTGTCTGTGCGAATATCAACGGGCCGCAGACACCAGATTCGACGGCACCTCAACCACCTCGCTTTCCATGTGAGTTTCCAGTGATGCAGCCATGATAATCACGCATGCAAACACAAAGGTGCACTTCTTTCGACATCCACACCACCAGATGTCACCGCTGCTGTCTGGTGGATTCGCACAGACAGCTCCCGGCTGCCGAATCCAGATGTCACCGCTGCTGTCTGGTGGATTCGCAGACAGCTCCCGGCTGCCGAATCCAGATGTCACCGCTGCTGTCTGGTGGATTCGCACAGACAGCTCCCGGCTGCCGAATCCAGATGTCACCGCTGCTGTCTGGTGGATTCGCACAGACAGCTCCCGGCTGCCGAATCCAGATGTCACCGCTGCTGTCTGGTGGATTCGCACAGACAGCTCCCGGCTGCCGAATCCAGATGTCACCGCTGCTGTCTGGTGGATTCGCACAGACAGCTCCCGGCTGCCGAATCCAGATGTCACCGCTGCTGTCTGGTGGATTCGCACAGACAGCTCCCGGCTGCCGAATCCAGATGTCACCGCTGCTGTCTGGTGGATTCGCACAGACAGCTCCCGGCTGCCGAATCCAGATGTCACCGCTGCTGTCTTGTGGATTCGCACAGACAGCTCCCGGCTGCCGAATCCAGATGTCACCGCTGCTGTCTGGTGGATTCGCACAGACAGCTCCCGGCTGCCGAATCCAGATGTCACCGCTGCTGTCTGGTGGATTCGCACAGACAGCTCCCGACTGCCGAATCCAGATGTCACCGCTGCTGTCTGGTGGATTCGCACAGACAGCTCCCGGCTGCCGAATCCAGATGTCACCGCTGCTGTCTGGTGGATTCGCACAGACAGCTCCCGGCTGCCGAATCCAGATGTCACCGCTGCTGTCTGGTGGATTCGCACAGACAGCTCCCGGCTGCCGAATCCAGATGTCACCGCTGCTGTCTGGTGGATTCGCACAGACAGCTCCCGGCTGCCGAATCCAGATGTCACCGCTGCTGTCTTGTGGATTCGCACAGACAGCTCCCGGCTGCCGAATCCAGATGTCACCGCTGCTGTCTGGTGGATTCGCACAGACAGCTCCCGGCTGCCGAATCCAGATGTCACCGCTGCTGTCTGGTGGATTCGCACAGACAGCTCCCGACTGCCGAATCCAGATGTCACCGCTGCTGTCTGGTGGATTCGCACAGACAGCTCCCGGCTGCCGAATCCAGATGTCACCGCTGCTGTCTGGTGGATTCGCACAGACAGCTCCCGGCTGCCGAATCCAGATGTCACCGCTGCTGTCTGGTGGATTCGCACAGACAGCTCCCGGCTGCCGAATCCAGATGTCACCGCTGCTGTCTGTGCGAATATCAACGGGCCGCCGGCACCAGATTCAATGGCACCTCAACCACCTCGTTTCTATGTGGGTGGAAGCTTATACATACAGACATGCATGTTATACATGTGTGATCCACAGGCATGCATGTTATACATGTGTGATCCACAGGCATGCATGTTATACATGTGTGATCCACAGGCATGCATGTGTGTCAGCGACCTCTGTGTGCATGCCTGCAGCCACTATTTGCATTTCTTTCACACTCCTTGCCACCGCTGTGCACTCCTTTCCGTGCCCCTTTTGAGTCGACTCAAAAGCTTTCACACTCCTTGCCACCGCTGTGCACTCCTTTCCGTGCCCCACTGGCCTGTGTCATCCTCCCTCCTTCCTGTGTGATTCCTCCTCCACTCCCCATCAGGTGATAGGAGACTCAGTGCATGGCAAGGGCCGCACCAATGCCCATTTCCGCCAGAACCATCGCCTGCCCCCCTCCCGCCTCTTCCTCCATGCTTGCCGCCTGCTGCTGCCCCTGCACGCCCTGCAAGGCGAATTTCCTCCCGTCCACACACCCGAAGCAGAATCCCCTCTTTTTAACACACGCGAAGCCAAATCCCCCCTCGTGGATGCACCAGAAGCAAAATCTCTCCTTTTGCCTGCACTTGAAGCCGAATCTTCCCTTATGCTGGCAACCGAAGGGGATTTTTCCCTGTCTCTTCTGGAGAGTAGTGCAGGGATGGATAAAAGGTATCTTGAAATTGTTGCTCCGTTACCAGATGATCTGACTCATGTGTTACTCTCTCTTGACGTGGACATAGATACAATTAACAGCCTTTGCTTCAGATCCTGAGTCTCCCCCCGATCCTGTATGACGAGTGTAAAGAAACGCTTCCATTGTATTTGGCTGGGACAGTAGGATCACTCACTCTCATTTGACTGGTTAGTATAGCAAGGGTAATTGGGAGTGCTGCGAATTTTCAATAGTTTGTTGCCAATGTATTTACATAACGTAGCTGTGGTGGAAACAGAATCTGCTGCTGCGCCATAGACAATCTTGAAGCCTTCTTTAAGGGGGATATCGAGCCCCCACCCACAGACCCATTTCGCCCAGTCCCTGCCTTCTCCCCTGATGATGCTGATGTGGCCAGTCCAGCTGAAGTGGGCGGGGCTGCTGCTGACGTGGAACCAGCTGCAGGTGATGACATGGCACGAACACGTGTCGAGCGTCTAAGATTGCCCGAAGCACCAATAACCCCACTGTCAGCACCACCAGCACCGTTTGCAGCAGCGGAACCAGCAGTGGGAACTGAAGGGGGCGGGGAGGAGGAGAAGGCAGCAGCAGCTGCAAGCTGGCGAGCCAGAGCCCTTGCCCCTGAGAGGAGAGCGGATCTGAAGGGGGATGGGGGGGTTGTGTGGGTGTGAGAGGAGGAAAAGAGCGCTTTGAAAAGGAAGGGAAGGGGAGAAGAACGGAGGGCAGCAGCAGCTGCAAGCTGGCGAGCCAATGCCCGCTGCAAGCTGGCGAGCCAATGCCCGCTGCAAGCTGGCGAGCCAATGCCCGCTGCAAGCTCCTGTGAGGAGGGCGGATCTGATAAGAAGAGGAGTGGGAGCGAGGAGAGAGGGAGAGTGGACATAAACGGGGGGGGGAAGAGGGGGAGGTAGGAGGAGCAGCAGCTGTTGCAGGCTGGCGAGTCAGGACCTGCTCCGCTCGTTTACCTTCGTCCATTCCTGGGATTTCTTTCTACTCGCCTAAGAAAACACTTTCTGCACAAAATGCAAGGGTTTAGAAATGACTTTCCGTTGTGCTATCCTGCTAGCCTGATACTCCCTACCTGATGCTGTCTCGCCGTGTGGTGAGCTGGACGTGCCATTGTAACGAGGTGACGTTTGAGTCGACTCAAAAGTCGCCCCGAAGCTGACACTCACTGCCTACCTGATGCTCTCCTGCTGTGCGGTGAGGTAGGCGTGCAGGCGCCTTTCACATGGAAAGCGAGGGTCCAGAGAGCTCAGCAGCGCATCAAACTGTGTTCATAGGCAGGGGAGGGGAGGGTGCAGCGGAGGGAAGAACTAGGAGATTTGGGGATGTGCTGTGTGGTGCTGTGTGGTGAGCCGGGCGTGCAGACTCTTTTCACATGGAAATCGAGTGTTCAGAGAGCACAGCAGCGTGTCAAACTGTATTGATGAGCGGGAATAGGGAGAGGAAGGGGGGTGAGGTGAGATAATGACCGGTTGAAGTAAACTCAAACGAGTATTTACTTGATGTGGTGCTGTGCAATACTGCACGAGCCACCACTTGCTATGCGGTGGATTGAGGTGCTGTGCAGTGCTGTGATGTGCAGTGCCATACAGTGCGTCCCATGCGGTGCAGTGCGGTGCTCCACCCTCCTCACCTCGTCAACACTGCTGTAGTATCCCCATCGCCTCCCCACCTCCCCTTCAACGAACAATCTTGCCTCCCGCCCAAACCACCAGTACTGCCTGCCCTCCCGGTCGCACCCCACCGGCACTGCTCGAACCGACACCTTCTCGACCTCTTTATCCAGGTCCCGACACTGGTGGTTGAAAGGGAAGAGGGGAGAGCGAGGGGAGCAGTGAGAGTGTTGCTCACTGCGTTGGGCACCAGTACTGCCTGCCCTCCCAGTTCCACCCCACCGGCACCACTCAAACCGATGCCTTCTCTGCCTTTTGCTAAGGTCCCGACACTGGTTAGGGGTGGAAAGGTCGGGATGGTGGGGAGTGGTGGGGAATCCCTAAAGCCATGCTGCAGCTGCAATTCCATAGGCCTAACTGTTGCGCTTCTCCCTAAAACCTAAACACATACCTTCTTTTGCAGTTGCTGCATCTCTTCTGCCTCCTCCTCCTCCTCTCGCTTCCACCTCCTCTCCTTCTCCTCCCACTGCCGCTCCCATTCTCGCCTCTCTTCCTCATCTCCCTCTCCCTTCCCTCTCTCTCCCTCCTCACTCGCTCCCTCAGTTCCCGAACCAACTTTTCCTCCACTCCTTCCTCTTTTCCTTCCCCTGATCCGCTTCCCCATTCCTTCTTCCCGTCCTCCACTTTCCTCCTTCCCCTCCTCTCTCCCTTCCTTCCTCCCCTCCTCCCTCCCCTCCTCCCTCGCCTCCTCCCCCTCCTCCTCCCTCCCCTCTTCTCTCTCCTCCTCCCTCCCCTCCTCCCCGTCCCCCTCCCTCACATCACCGAACAGCCCTCCTACAGACTGTCTTCTGTAACTGCCACGTGTCCTCCTGCTATTGGTGGGCCAGGACAGACCCCGTTTCCTGCCCCTGCCAGCAGCCAATGAGGGGAGAGATAAGGATTCTGCTCCCATGGCTGTAGCGGGTTCAGCATCTGTGGCAGCTGTAGCGGCTACATCCCCACAAATACTATTCGCAGCAGCTGTAGCAGCATCAGTGGCAGCTGTGGCAGCTGTAGCAGCTGTAACCCCGTCCATATTCTCAGTAGCAGCATCAGTAATAACTGAAGCAATTGTATCTTCGCCTATAATGTCTATAGCAGCTGCCGGAGCAGTGTCAGCTGTAAACGTTGTAGTAGTTGCATCCCCGTCAATAGCATCAATCACATCTGTGGCAGCATCAGTGGCAGCTGCAGAGGTTGCGACCCCTTCATTATCATCAACTCTGGCAACCTCTGTAGGAGGGGACAGCTCTGTAGCAGCAGCCTCACCATCAACACCATCATCACCAGTTGACGGCTCATTCTCAGCACAACCCGCACTGGCGCTACCACCACCATCACCACCACCACCACCACCACCACCATCACCACCACCACCACCACCATCACCACCACCACCACCACCACCACCACCACCACCACCACCACCACCACCACCACCACCACCACCACCACCACCACCACCACCACCACCACCACCACCACCACCACCACCACCACCACCACCACCACCACCACCACCACCACCACCACCACCACCACCACCACCACCACCACCACCACCACCACCACCACCACCACCACCACCACCACCACCACCACCACCACCACCACCACCACCACCACCACCACCACCACCACCACCACCACCACCACCACCACCACCACCACCACCACCACCACCACCACCACCACCACCACCACCACCACCACCACCACCACCACCACCACCACCACCACCACCACCACCACCACCACCACCACCACCACCACCACCACCACCACCACCACCACCACCACCACCACCACCACCACCACCACCACCACCACCACCACCACCACCACCACCACCACCACCACCACCACCACCACCACCACCACCACCACCACCACCACCACCACCACCACCACCACCACCACCACCACCACCACCACCACCACCACCACCACCACCACCACCACCACCACCACCACCACCACCACCACCACCACCACCACCAGCACCACCAGCAGCAGCAGCAGCCCCATAATCACCAGTTGACGGCTCATTCTCAGCACAACCCGCACTGGCGCTACCACCACCAGCAGCAGCAGCAGCAGCAGCAGCAGCAGCCCCACCATCACCACTAGTGGATGGCTCATTCCCAGCACAACGATCCGCACCAGAAGACTGAATGCAGGGAGAGACGCCACTGGGATTGACATCCATGTCGACACCTGTGTTGATCGTTACACTAGTATTACCACCCGCATTGGCATCAACCCTTACACACATAGTATCATCCCCCGCAGCAGATACAGCTTTACACGAAATCTTTTCACAGAAGCTACCACGAGACCTCTGCTGCCTCCCTCCCCACCTCCACCTCCTCTCCATCTCCTCCCTCCACACTCTCTCCTCCTCCTCCCTCCTCGCTATCTCCTCCCTTTCCTTTCTTTCCTTCTCCCTCTCTTCTCTCTCCCTCTTTCTCACTCTCTCCCGCAATGCTGCTGTCTCCCTGCATGCCCGTTCCTCCTCCGCCAAAACCTTTTTCTGCCCGGCCAACTCGTCCATCGCTGCAAGCTTTTTTTCCACAGCTGCCCGCAGAATGTCCCCCTCTAGTGCAGCGTTCACCAGCTCCCGAAGCAAGAGCAGTTTTGCCTCAGCGCCGAGCCTAGAATAGTGGCTCGGCAAAATGCTTTTTGGAAGAGGAAAAGGATCCAGAGAGTTTCTAGGATGTATCCTATCAGAAGAAGCAGCAGCAGCGAAAGCAGCAGCAGCTGTTGTCTCACCATTGACATCACCACCATTGCCACTGCTGCCAGCACTAGTAGCAGCACCATCCGCAACAATAGCATCAGTATCAGGAGCAGCAGTAGCGTCACCACCATCACCAGAATTAGCACGATCACAAGCCCTCTCACCACGGCCCAAGCACTCGGCCACACTCAGCAGCTTCCCACCGTCAGATCCACAGGCCTCCGAACCCTGTAGACCGTCGGATCGACGTGCCTGGGATGGATGCACGCCATTGAGAATCAGCCTGCGTGGCTGCAAGCTCCCGTGCTCTGATGAAGCGGGGCTGACAGAGTTCTTGAAACAGTCCTGCTGAGACGTCTCAAGTCGCAGTCGGCCATGCACCGAAGCCGGGCTGATGGGATCCTTCAAGCCGGGAACCTTGAAGCAGTTCTGAGATGCCTCGGAATGCAGTCTGGAGCGCACTGAAGGGGTGTTGGCCCATGCTGATACGTCCTCCAGCCACGTGTGAGGCGACACCTGAAAGGGCGGGAGAATGGGAAAAGAATAGTTTGAAGCAGGGCTGATAGACTCAGTAAAGCGGTCCTGAGACGCCTCGGAATGCAGTCTGGAGTGCACTGAAGGGGTGTTAGCCCATGCTGATACGTCCTCCAGCCACGTGTGAGGCGACACCTGAAGGTGGGGGAGAGAGTAGGAAAGGACGAGATCTATTAGCGCCTTTTTTCCTACATGATATTTATAACCTTGCAGAAAGGTTCACAAGCCAACTGTGGACCAATACATACATGAGAGGCCAGCGCAGGATTCGTTCGGCTTTTGAAATTTCTCAAGAAGTGTTTTCAAGGGCCAATGTAAGGATTATTTGTTCAACTAAAGGCATGCACCGGCCGGCCATACATACCACCATGCAACAGCGGCGGTAACACATACCACCTAAGGCATGCATCGGCCATACATACATACCACCACGGCACCACCTACCTCTTTCTTCCCCTGCCGCTGTTTCTTGAACTCCTGTTCGAAACCTTTATGGCTCAGAGCTGCCCACAGCAGTGCCGTATGCACCTCCCCCAACAGCGGAGGCAACACAACCTCTCTACGCCTTCTCCCTCCCTCACTCCATCCCTCACTCCCTCCCTCACTCCCTCCTCTGCCTTGTCCCCTCCTGCCGTTTCCTCTTCCATTCCCTGTTTCTTCCCGCACTCTTTCCCTCTCCCAGCTCTCACTCGCACCGCCTTCCTTCCCTCCTCCATCCCGCCTGCCTCTCAGCCTTCGCCCCTTCCCCCACCCTGCCCCCCAATCCCATTCTCTTTCCGACCCCTCTCTTTCCTCCTCTTCCAATCTCTCCTCTTCATATTTCCCCTCTTCCGATTTCCCTTCTTCCACCTTTCCCTCTTCAACCTTTCCCCCTTCCAACTTTCCCTCTTCCAATTTCCCCAAAACCATTTTTTCGTCTTCCAATATCCCCTCTTTCAATGCATGCTCTTCCAATTCCTCCTCTTCCCTCCTCTCCTCTTTCTGGCACCCATCCCCTCCCCCCGTTTCCTGCCCTTCCACATTCTGTCGCCCTTTCTCCTCCCCTTGCACTGCCTCCTGCTCTCCCGCCTGTTTCTCCCTTTGCTCCTCCCCATGCTTCTCCCTTTGCTTGACCCCCTGCTCTCCCCCCTGCTCTCCCCCCTGCTCTTCCCCCTGGCTTCCCCCCTGCTCTCCCCCAAGCTCTTCCCCCTGCTCTCCCCCCTGCTCTTTCCCCTGCTCTTCCCCCTGTCTTCCCCCCTGCTCTCCCCCCCGCACTTCCCCCTGCTCTCCCCCTTGCACTTCCCCCTGCCCATCCCCCCGCTCACACTCTAACACCTCAGCTTCTCCCTTCACAAATCTCCTCGCCCCCTCTCTCTCCGCCACACCTCCCCCCATTCCGCGCCTCCCCCCGCCCCCACCCTCCCCCTCAAACGCCAGGGAGAGCTCTAGAGAGGAGAGGGAGAAGGGGGAGAGGCGGAGGGCGGGGGAGAAGCGGCAGCAAAAGTCCCAAACTGCAATCAAATCCCCTATGCTGCTGCTGGGGAGAAGGAAGTCGAAGCATGGCTTGGGCAGGGGCGGGGGCGTGGGGAGGGGAGGATGAGGCGGAGATGGGGGAGGGGGAAGTGCGTGAGGGGAAGGAGGGAGGGGCGGGGAGGAAGTGGGTGCAACGGTGGGAGAGGGCGGAGCAGTTAGGACTCCAACCACCAGACCACCTACATCTGAACCACCTTCACCTGAACCGGACCCAGAAACACAACCTTCATTCCCACCACCCTCATGCATCACAGCCGCAATCCCCTTCCTCCTCCCTCCCACCCCCTTCGCCTTCTTCCCTGCCCCGCCTGCTTGCCCCCCTGCCTCCTCACGCTTCCCCTGAGCCTTGGCCGTACCTACAGCCCTGGCTGTACCTACAGCCTTGGCCGAACCTGCAGCCTTGGCCGAACCTGCAGCCTTGGCCGAAACTGCAGCCTTGGCCGAACCTGCAGCCTTGGCCGAACCTGCAGCCTTGGCAGTTTTTTCAGACTTGGACTTAACCTTTGGCTTAGCACCTCCCTTCTCCAGTCCTCCCCCGCTTAACCCTCCTCCTGCTTTTGCCTTGCCTCCTGCCTTTGCTTTAGCCCCTTTACAACGCTTTCCAACCTTCCCTCCCTCCTTCGCTTTCCCCACCCCCTTCCCCTTCCCCTTGCTCCCTTTTCGTCCCTCAACACCCGGCAAACAATTCTGCTCCACGAGAGCAACACCAACACCAACACCAACACCAGCACATACCGTCTTCTCTTCTCCCACTCCACACCCCTCCTCCTCACCACCCGAACCACCAACACCCCTCCCAGCCCCCACCACATCTACGCCTGACAAGCAATTCCTCTCCGCATGAGCAACACCAGCACTGCCACCACCATGAGCCGTCTTCTTGTCTCCTTCCACGAAACCCTCCTCATCCCTCATTCCACTCCCTCGTCCAGTCCCCACCGCATCCAACCCCTCCCTCAATTCCTGGAGCAACCCTACCCCATCAACCTCTGAGAGTCTTCCCTTTGAGCCCCACTCCTTACTAGCCTCTTCCGTATACCCTCCCGGTCGCAACCCTTCTGTCATTGGCGAATCTCGTTTCAGTGCGCTCACGCCATTGGTACCAAGTGCGCCAAGTGGCGCGTTCCTACTGGTCAGTTTGCTCTCCCGAATCTCCCAGGGAATATTATCAGGCTGAGTCAGACTCAGCTTCTGCCGCCACTGCTGCTGCTGATGGTGATTCTGATACTCATGCTGCAGCAGCCACTGCTGCTGATTCTGAGGGTTATTCTGATGCTGCTGAATGCAGCCAATCACACTGGCAGTTCTTGCACACGCATCTGACTCTTCTTTCACTGCATCCTGATTCCATGGAGACATGTGAGTCGACTCAACAGCTCCTGGATGTGCGTCTGACTCTGTCCTCACAGTAGACTGATTCTGTGACTGTGCATCCACTACTGATGCTGCTCCCATAACCCCTGCCCCATCAAGTCCTGATCCAAGATGCCCTGCCGCTGTAGCCAATTCTGATAGAAGCACATGCTTTGCCTCCACAGCTTCCATGCCAAGTTCGGGACCAGGTTCCGTCGCAGGCTCGGAAGCAGGTTTACCAGCAGGTTCGGTCGCAGGCTCGGGAAGTGGTTCGGCAACGGTCTTTTTAGGCCGTCTGGTTGGTGCTTTTCTGGGCAGGAAGAAAAACTCTTCTCCTGCCATGTCATCGGCCTGAAAGGGGGATGGAGCGGCGGATGAAGACGAGATCAGGAGTAGGAGGAGAATACTAGGAACAAACAACAAAGGGATGGAATTTGAGAGGAAGGGAAGAAGCCATAACAAGAGGACAGCAGATGGAAAAGGAAAGAAAAGAGCGAACGGGCCAAAAGGTAGAAGCATCAAACAGATCAACCAGATTCTCCTTACAACTGAACGCAAAACAAGCTCTCTCTCTCGCTCACTCTCTCTCGCTCACTCTCTTTCTCTCTCTCACACACACACACGCACATACCAGACGCTTCTTCTTCCTCAGCTTGCGGCTCCTCTTGTCCGCCTCTGCTTCTGCCGCCACGTCATTGTTACCATTGACACGTGTCGTCTTATCAGTGGCCACCAAGCTTCTCCTGTCCGCTTCTGCTTCAGCTGCTGTGCAGTCGGAGTGAACCCTGACACGTGTTGCCTTGTGAGTCGTTTGAGCAGCTTTCTTATATGCCACGACAGCTGCAATATCAGCTCCTGATTCGAGAGCCACGTCAGGTAATGCTTCAGGTGCTGCTTCAGGTGTTGCTTCAGGTGGCGTATCATCTCTTGAGTTGGTTGCCACGTCAGCGACTGCTTCGGCTGCAGAAGCAGCGCTTGAGCTGTCCGCCACGTCAGCCGCTGCTTCTGCTCCAGCATCTGCTCTTGAGTTAGCTGCAACGTCAGCTGCGAATCGTAACTTCGCTGCCACGTCAGCTGCTGTATCGGTGGTCGTATCAACTGGTGTGTCAGTCACATCAGTTGCCAACTCAACTCGTGCTACTTCCCCAATAACAGCCCTCGTTATGCAGGGCCTTGTTCCTTTCATGCGCACAGGAGATGCGGCTGTAGCAGGCGTTGTGTCAGCAGGAGCAGGAGCAGCAACAGCAGCGGCAGCGGCAGCGGCGGCAGCGGCAGCGGCGGCAGCAGCAGCAGTGGCGTCGGCGGCAGGAGGAGGAGGAGGAGCCCTAAGCGCAGGCACGCCAGCTAGCTGATAGCATGGTATCAGAACCCTGGTGGCATGAGTAGCTGATGCGGATGCAGTGCCCTCACTCTCACCACCACCATTAGCTGAAGCAGCAGCAGCATTAGAGGCGGCAGCAACTGCAGTGGCAGTGGCAGTGGCAGAAACAGCAGCTACCATGGACAGCAGCAAACCTCCATCAATAGCAGCAGGAGCAGCAGCAGCAACGTCCAGCCTACCATTGCCACCAGCAGCAGCAGCAGCAGCAGCAGCAGCAGCAGCAGCAGCAGCAGCAGCAGCAGCACTGGCCATTCCACCTACACTGGCATCGCTTGGCTGGCCAATGGGACCAGCCAATCGTGTGCCGACAGTTGTCGTCACAGCAGACTGGGATTCGGCGTGTGCTGATTTGCCTGATCCGTCCTGACAGCTCATGACCTGTGCAAACATGGAGGAAGGGAACAACGGTAACATTATGAAGGAATCAGCGGCAACGTGAAAGAAGCAACTGAGACATGAAGGAATGAACGGCAACATGAAGGAATGAACGGTAACATGAAGGAATGAACGGTAACATGAAGGAATGAACGGTAACATGAAGGAATGAACGGTAACATGAAGGAATGAACGGTAACATGAAGGAATGAACGGTAGCATGAAGGAATGCACGGTAACATGAAGGAATGAACGGTAACAAAGGGGGAATGAACGGTAACATGAAGGAATGAACGGTAACAAAGGGGGAATGAACGGTAACATGAAGGAATGAACGGTAACATGAAGGAATCAACGGTGACATTAAGAAATTAACGATAGAATGATGGAAACAATCGGTAACAAGAATGAAGAAACGGTAACACGAAGAAAACAACGTTGCAACCCTAAACTACAGCTGGAGCGACTCAAATGTCCGAAATTCCGTAACCGCTGGCAGTAGTATCGGAGCAACAATGAAAGAATCCAAAAAGACCTTTCAATAGAAGCACAGGGCTAGCAGGATGAAGGGATTGTGAAGGGAACACGAAAGAAGCACCCAGAGGGTGCAATGACGCGTGGAGCGACGCGGACAGCGACGAATTTGCGACGAACGCGGTTACAATAGCGATGCGGCGCTAAACGAGCTATGGAGGCTAGCAATACGAGATTCTAACTTGACATAGCCAGCGACGATGAATTCCAGAAGGAAACCCTAAAATTACGACAAAAGCGGTGGTCTTAAGTAGAACTGACGAGTTGACGGGTGCTCGGGAAAACGGAAAGCGTGACAGTAGCTGTTTTGGCTCTTGTAACGCGGGAAGAACGGCGGAGAGCCCGGAATGTGGGAAGAGCACCTACGAGATTCGGTCAGGGTGGCCGGACGGATTCAGTTGCTGACGGAACGGAATAGACTCCGTCAGGTTGGGTCCTGAACCAAAATTCGTTACCAGTCGGCCAAAAAAATGGCAGAACTGGCCGGATCTGCCTACAAGTCGGCTTAACCTGATCAATGACCCAGCTATGGATCTCGAGGAACTCTAAAAATGCGGTAAGCCGAAGCACGAAGCTCCCAGCAAACCCTACATTCAAGCCTGCGCAATGCGAGACGGGAAACTGGGCCATCTGTGGTTCGAGAGGCGAGGTCATGCAGACCGTCGGGAGGGATTCGTGACGCGCGGGAGGGGGAGGGAGTTGACAACCGTGAGAGAACGGGAATGGCAGACTAGTGTGAGGCGGCGGCAAACGACAGTGAGGGAGATTTCAGGGCGTGTGCAGTGTGCAGTGCTGTGAGTTCGTCTCCAGCTTTTATGCGAAGCAGGCGATGCGAGCGAGGAAAAGTAGCGACAATTTTGGCTGGGACAACTTTTGTGGAGTCTAGGGAGTGTTCAGACGCTTGCTTGGACATTGCCAATATCGTGTACGGCACACACAATTTACCCTTACGTTTAGACAAAAAAATTTCAGCACTTCTGAGCTGAGTCTATCATTACAACCGTCCCACCTATGACGAGAGATGAATGTGTACACTAACGTGTTATGTTCATGAAGGCTGCATGCACGTTTAGTTTGCCTGTTATATTCTTGAAGACTGAATGCCAAAGGGATATCAGCCACGGCCACGACCGCGACCCCTGCCCCTTCCTCGTCCCCTGCCTCTTCCCAGAGCTCCACCCCGCCCTGCAAAAGAAATCATAAAACGATGAAATTTGATTGGTTGTTTGTACCTCATCACACAGCATCACTAACTAGATAACATAGTAACAGATGTTCCCGACCACGACTGCACATACCTGCTGGTTGTTTCTTTGCCTTTCGTCGGGGCGCATCGTCCACCAATAGCGTGTCAAGATTCAAGCTGTCGGGCAGGATGAAATACCGGATTGTGTGTCCCCGTACACTCAAATGGTCCAGGGCTACTGGGTTCTTGCCCTTGACTGTAAGCTTCACTGTTTTAAGGTGGGTGTTCATACTGATGTCCACTCCTGGAGTGTTTCAGCGGAGGGAGCCGCAAAAAGGCATGGGGGGGGTAGTGTGGGGGGGTGGGGGGAGGAGTGGCGGGGAGGGGGGGGGGAAGGGGGGGATGGAAGAGGGGGATGGAAGAGGGGGATGGAAGAGAGAGTGGAAACGCCGAGCGGGCGTGGGGGGACAGGGAGGGGAGGGGAGGGAGACACAACAGCGAAACGGGGAAGGATTGAAGTAAAAATGAGAAAACAGAAATGAGCTGCGTGATGAGAATATCGTGTTACCTCTGCAACTACGTACAATTGTCAATCGTCAAGCTGCCAGCATCTTAGAGCGACGACTATTTGCGGGTTCACGAAGATCCGCCAACGGAAAGAGCGGAAAAAAACCGGCAGAGCGCAAGAAGGAAAATCCGGGAAGATAGGGGAGTTTTAGACAAGGAATCGATTATTACACGGCTAAGCGATGAGGGGTTCGATCCTTTTTTTTGTAAATGAACCGATGAATTGGCTGGTCTGGGAAAAGTTCGTAACTAATTAAGTTCAGCAATGAAGGAGACGACAGCGGGATGGGAAGGCAAGATGCGATTGTAAGAGCCTTACCGAGAATGGTCCCGTGTACAATCGTGCCATTCTTCAGCTCTATGGACACCGTCTCATTGTTTAGCTTCATAAGAAACCTGCACAGTTCAGGAGCCAGCACGCTGTCAGAAAACAGGAAGCCGACGCCTTGAAACGTACGATTTGAAATGAATTAACAGCCATTATCATGAATGGGTGAAACCTGCCTGACGAGCTTCATCCTTCCGCAATAGAAGCTTCCAAATCAGCGGTGACTCGTCGATGAGACTGCAGACAAGTGACGCTAGCGACGGCAACTGCGCAGATCGAAATTAGGGGAGATTAAGGGGCGGTACACGAACAGATGAGGCTGAAACGCTAGCTTCACTCCAACCCTGAAGTGCTGAACCCTAAACGTCTCTACGAGGAGATCGGGGCACTACTGGTCCGCTGTATAGTTTGCTTGTTTAACCACATAAAATAACCAATAGATAACATTCATTATGTTATTCCCATTGCTGGGCTTAATTTAGACTCATTCGCTTGATTTACCGTAATCTCCCGGATATAAGACCCGGGGGACTTTCCTAAAATATATTCAAAAACTATAGGGTGAATATCAAGGTGGCACGACTTGCAAAAGTCTCGGGTACACTTAATAATCTAATACTGTTATGTGATTTACTGTGTACCGTTTGTTTCTGGGGAGGTGGGGGAAAATATTTTGCTCGTCCGAATCCCTCACTTGGAGCACCATGGACCTCAAATCAGGACTAGCACGCGATGACCAATGAGGCATGATGGCGAGTTATCCCATCATTTTTTGCGAACCGTACATCATCTTGATTGCTCAGTGCCCGCAGTTGGTCGCGTCATGGTTCCCCTGTGCATGTCAAACATTATATATGTTGTATTTGTGTAGGCTACAGTGGGTTAGCCTTTAGGGGGTACACAATTCTAGGGTTAGGTACTTGTACTCCCTTTCGTTTCTAGTCCAACACTTCTTCTTTCTAACATGGTATTAAGAGCGTAGGTTTAGACCTAGTATCGCTCCTTAGGGCCCACCGTTCCGTTCGAAGCGCCCTCGAGCGCCTTTCTCCTAGTGCGCCCTCGTGCGCCTCGCTGTCTCCTACTGCCCCGCTGGGCTGATCTGATGAAGAAAAACATTGATATCTATGCTCTAGACTTTGATGCTATTCTCACTGCCATGTATGTGTTGTCTACTAGTGGAGAGGGTGCTCAGTACCTGCGTGTTCCGCCCGACCCGGGCATTCGGACCAGTGAGGCTGCCGCTCTAGGTGCTAATGCGTCTGTTGCCCTAGGTGCTGGTGAGGCTGCCGCTCCAGGTACTCCCGTGTCTCCTGCCCCAGGTACTGGTGAGGCTACTGCTCTAGGTGCTCGTGAGTCTGCGCCCCCTGGTACTGAGTCTACTGAGGCACTGCACACCTTCACACTGGACTCAGGTGCTTCTCGCTGTTTCTTTCGTGACCGCACTGCCCTTGAGCAGCTTGCTCGGCCAGTTGCTGTCTCCCTTGCTGACCCCTCTGGGGGTCCGGTCATTGCAACCTCCTCCACTGTCCTTCTTTGTCCTGCGGTTCCGTCGGGCACACTGTCAGGTCTCCACCTCCCCTCGTTCTCTACGAACTTGGTGGCGGGTTGTGCGCTCCAGGACGGGGGTGTCCACCAGTTCACCCCTGCCTACGAGCGCGTGACACACTGCACGTGTGCTCGGACGGGCCGTCACCTGGCTACCTTCACTCGGCAGCCGGGGTCGGACCTGTACACACTGACCACTGAGTCCCCTCAGGTAGCTGCGTCTGCGTCTACTTCAGGTCAGCTGTCTGCCCCCTGCTCGTGTCGCTCTCTAGCACACGAGACCGTCCTCTGGCACCACCGCCTTGGTCACCCGTCAGTGCAGCGCCTTCGTGCCATGCACAAAAGGTACCTTGTCTCTGGTCTTCCCAGGGTTCTCCCTCCCCTCCCACCCTCACCTGCTCCTCCCTGTCTTCCCTGTGTCGAGGGGCGGCAGCGCGCCGCTCCTCACTCCTCCTCGTTTCCCCCGACGACTGCTCCCTTGCAGACACTCCACATGGACGTGTGGGGCCCAGCCCGCGTCCGTGGACAGGGTCAGGAGAGGTACTTCCTGATCGTTGTTGACGACTACTCGCGCTACACCACGGTCTTCCCCTTGCGCACCAAGGGTGAGGTCCCTGATGTCTTGATCCCTTGGATCCGCGCTTCTCGTCTCCAGCTCAGTGAGCGTTTCCAGTCGGACTTTCCTGTCCTGCGTTTGCACTCTGACAGAGGTGGTGAGTTCTCCTCCGACCTCTTGGCAGCCTACTGTGCGGAGCACGGCATCCGCCAGTCGTTCACGCTTCCGGCCTCTCCACAGCAGAATGGGGTTGCTGAGCGCCGCATTGGCTTGGTCATGGAGGTCGCTCGTACCTCCTTGATCCATGCGGCTGCCCCCCACTTTCTGTGGCCGTTTGCGGTCCGATACGCTGCGCATCAGCTCAACCTCTGGCCCCGTGTCTCCCTGCCGGAGACTTCCCTGACACTGCGTTGGACGGGAGAGGTTGGCGATGCGTCGCGTTTTCGGGTCTGGGGTTTTCGAGCTTTTGTTCGCGATACGTCCGCGGACAAGCTCTCCTCCCGCGCTGTTCCTTGTGTCTTCCTTGGCTTTGTCCCGGACGCGTCTGGTTGGCAGTTTTACCACGCCACCTCGCGCCGTGTCCTGCCCTCTCAGGACGTCACTTTTGACGAGTCCGTGCCCTACTACCGCCTCTTCCCCTACCGCACTGCCCCGCTCCCCCCCCTGCCTCTCTTCCTCGCGCCAGGTGCTGCTGTGGTAGACCCCCTCCCCACTCAGGGTGCCGCTCCCTCAGGTGTGTCCCAGGTAGACCCGGTTGAGCCTGTCGAGGTAGCTGTCGACTCTCGTCCTGCTAGGGGTGCTGAGCCTGAGCGTGCGGAGCCTGGGGGTGCGGAGCCTGGGGGTGCTGAGCCTGGGGGTACGGAGCCTGGGGGTGCGGAGTCTGGGGGTGCTGAGCCTGGGGGTGCGGAGCCTGCGGGTGCTGAGTCTGGGGGTGCTGAGCCTGGGTGTGCTACGTCTGAGGGTGCTGAGACTGAGCGTGCTTCACCTGGAGGAGCTCTCTCCTCACAGCAGCTACGAGAGTGGTACTTACAGTACTGCAGCCTCAGGAGGGGTGCTTCTGGAGCTAGGAGTGCTGCTGGAGCTGGTGCTAGTGCTTCCCCTCCTAGGCGGGAGCTTCCCTCTCCCCAGCGGCTCCGAGAGTGGTACACTCGGCGCTGCAGTCTCCGGAGTGGCGCTCCTAGTGCCGCGGACCCTGGTGCTGGAGGTGCTGCTGCTGCTGGCGGTGCTGCTGGTGCTGGAGCTGCTGGAGGTGCTGCTACTGGCGGTGCTGCTGGCGCTGCTGGAGGTGCTGCTGGTGCTGGTGCTGCTGGAGCTGCTGGAGGTACTGCTACTACTGGAGGTGCTGCTGGTGCTGCTGGAGCTGCTGGAGGTGCTGCTGCTGCTGGCGGTGCTGCTGGCGCTGCTGGAGGTGCTGCTGGTGCTGGTGCTGCTGGAGCTGCTGGAGCCGCTGGTCCTGGGGGTGCTCGTACTGGAGGTACTGGAGCTGCTGGGACTGGGCCTGCTGAGGGGGTTGTCGCTGGAGGTGCTGAGCGGCCGCGACCGTACTACGTTCCGCTCCTTCAGCAGGTTCTTAGTCTCCCGCCCTCTACTGGTCCTTCTCCTCCCCTACTGAGTCCACCGCCTATCCAGTCGCAGTCACAGTTACAGCCAGCCTCTCCACTGCCTGGTCCTTCTCCTTACGCTGAGCCGACGGGAGGTCTTACGGAGCGTCGTGAGCCTGAGTCTCGTCCTCCGTCGCCTGAGTCTCGTCCAGCGTCGCCTGAGTCGCGTCTAGAGTCACCTGTCCGTGCTGTCCGCTCTGGTCGTCGTGCTCCGCGTGAGCGACCTCCTCCTGTTCCTGGCACTCACTATATGACTCTGCGTCCTTCCACTGCTCCACAGCGTGTCCCTCTGCCGTCCCCTCCTGCGTCCTCTCTTCCTGCTCTTGCTGACCCGGAGTCTGACTCTCTTCGTGCTGCCAGTCCTACTGTCACGCGTCTCCTTGCCAGTGTTGTCACTGACCCTTCCTTCGAGTCCTCTGCTGCGTCTGCTCTAGTCGCTGAGCTTGTTGACTTTGCTGCCGCCTGTCGTCTAGACTACGCCGCTAGCCTTGTTGCTGAGTCTGAGTCTGTCTGTCCTCCGTCCGTCGGGGGTGAGTGTGCTCTTGGCACGGACGTCCTTGAGGACAGACAGGAGGAGTTTGAGTGCTTTGCCGCTGCTTTGCCTCATCTCGTGTCCATGCTAGTTGCCCCTGAGGGAGACCCGGATGCACCAGACATCCCGACCCCACGCTCCTACGCAGAGGCGATGGAGGGTCTCTACTCCTCTCAGTGGCAGACAGCCATGGACGCAGAGATGGCTTCCTGGAAATCCACAGGCACCTACGTCGACGAGGTTCCCCCACCTGGGGCGAACATCGTCAGTGGCATGTGGATTTTTAGGGTGAAGCGGCCGCCGGGTTCTCCGCCTGTCTTCAAGGCGCATTACGTTGTACGAGGCTTCAGTCAACGAGAGGGAGTTGACTTCTTCCAGACCTTCTCCCCGACCCCGAAGATGACCACTCTTCGGGTTCTGCTACACGTCGCCGCTCAGCGTGACTACGAGCTCCACTCTCTTGACTTCAGCACTGCGTTCCTACAGGGCAGCCTGCACGAGGAGATCTGGCTGCGCCGCCCACCTAGCTTCACTGGGTCGTTCCCTCCTGGTACCCAGTGGAGCCTCCGGCGGCCAGTCTACGGTCTCCGCCAGGCACCCCGTGAGTGGCACGACACATTGAGGACTACGCTTGCGGCTCTTGGGTTTGCTCCTTCTACTGCTGACCCGTCGCTGTTTCTACGCACCGACACCACTCTGCCGCCGTTCTACGTTCTCGTGTACGTCGACGACTTGGTCTTTGCTACTGCTGACACTGAGGCACTCGCCCACGTGAAGTCGGAGCTGCAGAAGAGACACACGTGCACAGACCTGGGTGAACTGACAAG